CTATTTGTTGATTTCTTAATTTAGAGTCTCCATTGACTAAAGAGGTTTGTTTTTAATTAAAAACGTTGGTGATATAACAGAAAATAGCATAATTCAGAAATGATTTAAGTTTAAAATTGAATTAATATTTTTACTTTCATGATAAATTTTATGCACTTGGCTCTAAGCTTGGTTATCAAACACTACATCTTTACTTTAGGCTTATTATACCAACACTCAGTACACTTATAAGGTTTCAAGGCAACTCACTCCCCCCCCCCCTTCATGGCACCCTTGCACCCCCATCACTAAAATCGTAATGGGCAGACAGTAATCGAACTATTCTATCTCAGTAAATGATTTTAGCTTTTATGATCTCTTCTGTTTTGAGAAATCAAGAGTGATGTGACAAACTGGCTTTTATATAGGTTGGATAAAAACATGAATGGGTCAATCTTCGAGTTAGTTAATCAGTTAGTAAGTCAGTTCTATGCCTTGGATACAAGAGGATTTTTTACAAATGACTATCAAGTTTTATTTGTGAGTTAGTCCTGTAAAACATTATAAAAGAAAGAAATAACTTGGAAAAATAAGTGAAATGGACTTACTAAATAACCACAAATATCAAACCCAGCAAATAAACTGTCACAACAACAACAACAAAACTATAATGCTTCAAATTGATTGAATAATCAGTGAGGTATATTTCCTGTTAACAGCCTGTTTTCAGTTTTAATTACAGATATTTACCATTGGATAACAGCAGTTATATCTAAGCAATCCCAACATCAGGTAAAAGAAAACAAAAACCTCTGCAAACCCTCCTGAAGCACTAAATGATTAAAATAGAGTAATATTTCCAAATGGCTATAAACAGTAGAAATTATGATTAAACTGATTTATGTCATGAAAAGAATCAACTAATCAAAAATTCGGGTTTCTGATTTCTCACTGTTATTTTTGACTAATTCAAGATTGTTCAACTTAATCAATTAATGTTTCTAATTATTACTATTTTCAATTGTTCCAACTATCCAAGTAATTGAAATATTAGCTATTACCACATCCATTGGTGCAAATGCTCACAATGGTATGCATGCATTCTATTTATAAGTAACTCAAGAATGTCAGGCTGTAGTTTATTGGCTGTTGGTTACATAACTAGACACAATGATGCTTACTGTTTGTGCTTAACTTGTTTAAACAACAGTGTAGTTTTAACTTAACATATTGTTTATTTATTAGAAGTTATTTGTATCCAACATCAATGTCACTGTGGACAACTAGAGTAGCAGACAAATGCATAGCTTTCTTGAAGTCACTGGTAATTTTATACTTGACTGGAAAATGCAAACAGTCATGCTGGCATGTCAGCATTTCAAGGGACATCATACATCTGATAACATTGCTGCTGAATATGATGAAATAATAAATCTCTTTAACATGAACAACAAGTTGTCATATTTGACACCTGATAATGCATCCATAAATGATCATAGCTTTCTGCTTGCCTGGGTTTGAACCACAAACACTACCTAGTGCAAGAGATGGTGATAGCTCATCTACAGATAGTGACTCAGAAGATAAACTTTTCAATGAATCTAAATCAGCAGACAATTTATCTGAATTTCTTCCTGAACATGACCCTTGCTTTTCCCACATGCTTGTGGTCAGGGATGGCATGAAAGAAAATGGACCATTGCTGAAAGTAATTTCCAAAGCATCAGCCATCGTGTCCTACATTCGAAAATCAACGCAAGCAACTGATCTACTTGAGGGAAAAGCCAGAGTTCAGTTGGTAACACAAACATGATGGAACTCAGAAATTAAGATGATTAAGTCAAAAGAAGTTGAATAATCTAGATACTGGTACATTAAAACTTACTTTTCATGATCGAACTGTGCTTGCAGATTTGGTGGCAATACTGGCACCATTCAAAGAGGCAACAGATTTCACCCAGGGTCAGAATATTGTTACCTCAGTTATGTAGTGTCATGAATGAGATTGACAGCATGCAGTCCAGATATAATTTTAATATTGTCTCTGCACTGAAGAAATCTGCTCATGCCTGGCTGACTCAGTATGAGCAATGAAGTGTCTTCTGCTTGGCTGTTGCACTGGATCCCAGATTTAAACTTGATTGGTGTTTCACTAGACCTATGGTCTATGAATCCAATCGATTGCTTCTGGAGCAAGAAGTAAAGAAAGTTTCCTCAACAAACAATTACCCCCCCCCCCACACACACACACAAAAGAAGTAAGCTCTTTAGTTTCTTTGCTGCCTCTAAGAAACCAACCATTTCATCTTCAGAGGATACAGAGATCAACACCTACCTCAATGCTCCTTGCATTCCTGAAAAAAGCAACCCTCTAGATTATCGGAAGATCCATGAAAAAAAATTTCTTATCCTATATCTACTAGACAAATGCTATCTGAGTGTTCCATCATCCCCTGCCCACCATTGTGCATTTGTTTAACAGCAGAGGCAAAAAACCCTCAGACCTGATCATTGCCACCTTGCTGACAAGACATACAACCATACAAATGAGGACATACACAGTGCCAAAGGATTTATAAGGCACTTAGAGTAGAAACCATCATTAACTAAAAGACTGTCTGATTTTCATTTCATTGAATCCTATTCTCAGATATCTATCTTGTAGCTCGAATTTCTATATTTTGTATCATCTTGACTACATCAAAAATTAACTAAAAGCATTGCACGACCCTTTCTGATATTCAATGTGATGCTTGATAATGCATGGTTAAGAGTATATAAGATGGTAAAAGCAGTCAACAATGAAATAGAATTGTATCAGGGCACTACGGAATAATTACTCACTTGCATGCATGTATACCTGGGATCAATTGTCACAAACGAGGTTTCCAAACCTAAGATACTTTCCAGGATTTTGCAGACAACAACAGTGCTGGCAAGGTTGAAACCAATATGGAACAACAAAACATCACTCTCAGTTCCAAAATTAGGCTGTTGTACTCCCTTGTCATATCCATATTTCTGTATGCTTGTGGAACATGGACCCTCACAGCAGATCTAGAAAGAAGAATACAGACCATGGAAATGAGTTGCTACAGAATGATCTTGAGCATCTCATATAAAGACTGTTTTACCAACAAAGAGGTCTGCAACAAGATCCAACAAGCTATCAGACCATACAA